ACATGGCAATACAATATTTAAAAAATAATTTAAAGATAATTTTTTTATATTATCTTTTAATACAAGTTTACATGTTATTTAAATTATCATTTTTTTATTTATTTGATACTCATAATATTAAATATATATATTTATTTAATGATATATAAAATTATATAAAAAATTATCTTTATATCATTGTTCAATTAAAACTCATAATATTAAATATATCTATTTATTCAATAATATATAAAATTATATAAAAAATTATTTGTATATCATTGTTCAATTAAAACAAAAGGAGTTAGAGTGCATTGACACAATTGACTTGGCTCACAATCATGTATTATATTAGTGAGAGAAAAGAGGCAGAAGAGAAAAATATGAAGAAAATGATACTTTTCTTGATTCATTTGAATATATAAATTGCTTATTTAGAGACCTGTACAAGAGAATATTTCATAGTACAAAATCAATTAACCTAATCATGTCAATCAATTATAATGTGAACACAATCAAGTGTGATGAATATTCTGTAAAATATTTTGTAACATCCCCCCTCAAACTCAAGATGGTGATGAGGAGACCAGCTTGAGTTTGGAAAGAAAAGTGCAGAAGCAGCTAGGAAAGTGAGCCTTGGTGAAGAGATTTGCAGGTTGATCAGTAGAGCCAATAAAGACCAGATGGATAGTTCCTTTGGCAACATGAAATTGAATAAAATGACAATCAACCTCAATATGTTTTGTGTGTTCATGAAAAACATCATTGTGAGCAATCTGTATAGCATTTTGATTGTCTTAGTAAAGATCAGTAGAAGATGGTTGGGAGACACCCATATCCTCTAAGAGCCATCGCAGGGAAAGAAGTTCTAAAGTGGTGCCAACTAAAGCTTTGTATTCAACCTCAATACTAGAGTGAGCTGGAATAGCTTGTTTCTTACTATGCCATGAAATAAAAGAGTTACTAAGAAAAAGACAATAGCCAATAGTGGATCTTCGATCTGTAAGATCACTAGCCCAGTCAGCATTTGAATATGCATGAAGTACAAGGGAAGAATGGTCTCCTCATAATTGATGCCATATTCCTATGTAAAACCCTTTGTCACTAAACGTACCTTATAGAGCTCTATGGATCCATCAAAACAAGTTTTGATCTTGTAATTCCCACTTGCATCCAACCAGAGTCTTATCAGTAGGAAGATCAACCAAGTCCCAAGTACCTATCTTTTCCAAAGCTTGTAATTCCTCTTTCATAGCTTGCTACCATAGAGGATCTAAAAAAGCTTCCTTGTAGAACTAAGGTTCATGTAAAGATGTAATTGTAGAAAAACAATGGTAATCTTGAAGATATGTAGGTGGATTTCTTACCCGAGTAGGATGATTGAAAAAGGAGGGAACTGGTGGATTTTCAATCTCATTTGTTCCAAGTGCAATATCCGTAGAAGAGACATCTTCTAAAATAGGAACTATGGTAGTTTGATCATTTGAATGCTCATCGGGACACCCCGCATCATCATTAGGAAATAACTCAAGAGATGGATTAGTGAAGATATGAGTTTGATGAAAAGGGGACACCTTGAATTCAAAAAGAGAGATAAACATAATGTGTTCCCAAAACACAACATGACGAGAGACACAGAATTTTTGTGATACTGGATCCCAACAACGATAGCCTTTATGTTGTATCTCATATTCCAAAAAACAACAAAGTTGAGCTCGAGGCTCTAACTTGTGATGTTCATGGAGAGGTAAAAGAATAAAACAAGCATAGCCAAATATTTTAAGGAGATCGTAGGCAGGAAGAATAACGTAAAGACACTTATAGGGAGATTTATTTTGTGTGACAACAGATGGGACTCGATTTATGACATAGGCTGCTGTAAGTGTAGCTTTACCCCAAAAATGCTCAGGACATGAGGATGAAATTAGGAGAGCACGAACTAAGTCCAAAACATGACGATGTTTACGCTCTGCCCACCCATTTTGTTGAGAGGTGTATGGACAAGATCTTTGTTGTATTGTGCCTTACTCTTTAAGAAAAGACTAAAGTTTAGAATTAAGATACTCAAGAGCATTATCAGTTCTTAAGACTTTGATGGTTTTAGGGAATTGAGTCTTTATCCTAGTAGCAAACTCAAGATAAATTTGAGGTAATTCTGAACGTTTTTTCATTAAATATAGCCAAGTGAAGCGAGAATAATCATCACTAAATAACACAAAATATTTTGAACTACCCATGGTAGGAGTAGGAGATGGCCCTCATATGTCAGAATGTACTTAATCAAAAGGTGCAACAGAAATGGAATCACTTTTATTAAAAGATAAAGCAGGCTATTCAACAACTTGACATGAGACACAATGTAAGGACTCCTCTTTAATGGAACCTAAAGACCCATTTTGAATTAAAGGACGAAGTTTATTGATAGAAGCATGACCAAGACGAAGATGCCATAAATGTAAAGAAAAGGCTATCTTAACGACACACAACTGGGAAACATAGCTAGAAGGGATGTGTAGGGAGGTGAGCTCAAATAACCGTCCAACCTTACGGCTTGTCCCAAGAATCTGTCCCATCTATGGATCCTGCACACGACAACCATGAGTAGAAAATATTAGTTCAAGACCAAGCTCACATAGTTGTCCCACATAAATAAGATTGAAAGTGAGTTTTGGTATTAGGAAAGC